AATATTTTTGAGTTTTTATATATTCTAGATATTCATCCCATCTTTGAGGAATAGCTGGCAGAATTTTTGCTCATTCTGTAGATTATCTCTTTGCTACATTGGGTGTTTTATTTGCTGTGCAGAAGCTTTGCAATTTGATATGATCCCATTTGTTGGTTCTTGGTATTATTTCTTGAGCACCTGGAGTTCTGTTCATAAAGACCTTGCCTATATCTGTATTTACCAGTTTTACCTCATTTGTCTTCCAGCTGGTTGTTTCTGTTTTAATACTTAGATTTTTGAAGTTCTTTGATTTTAGTTTAGTGCATGATGAGTGATGTGGGTCTAGGTTTAGTCTTTGGCAGGTGGGGAGCCAGTTTTCCCAGCACCATTTGACAGAGCTGATCTTTACTCCAGTGAAGCATTTGGCCCCTTGTCAAAGATAAGATTGCTGAGGTTTCTTGGTGCTGTTTCTATACCATTTGTTCTGTTCCGTTCATCCAGTGGTCTGCTTTTTGCCAGCGACATGTTTTTATTACTGTAGGTTTGTACTTTAACTTGAGTTCCTGGATTGTGATGCTTCCTGTGTGCACTTGTTGCCTAGGATTGTTTTTATTTTTCTAAGTCTCTTTTGGTTCCTTATGAATTTTAGGATTCTTTCTATAGTTCTCTGAAGAATTCTATTGGCATTTTGATTGGGACCGTGTTACATTTGTATAATAGTTTTGGAAGTATGACCATTTTGACTCTATTCTTTCTGCATATTCAGGGATGGGATATCTCTTCATTTTTTCATATCCTCCTCAATCTCCTTTTTCAGAGTTGTATAATTTTCTTTCTTTTTTTTTTTGGTACTGGGAATTGAACTTGGGACATTGGGCTTGCAAGGCAGGTGGCAGAACCACTGAGCTAGATCCCCGGCCCCAGAGTTGTATAATTTTCATTGTAGAGGTCTATCACTTACTTGGTTGCGTTACTTCCTAAATATTTCATTTCTCTTGGTGCTATTGTGAAAGTTATTGGGGCCCTTATTTCTTTCTTGATGAGTTTATTAATGGTGTACAGGAATGCTATTGATTTTTTGTGTTTTGCCTTTGTGAGCTTCTCCACTTGTGAATTTTTAAATTAATTTTAGGAGTCTTTTGAGGTCTTCTATGTAGAGGATCATATCATCTCCAAATAACAATTTAATTATTTCATTCCCATACATACATCTTTAAATTATTTCTCTTACTTGATTTCCTAACCAATATGTTCAGAATTCTTTTTGAACAGGAGTGGTAACAGTGGATATATCCTCATGTTGTTCCTGATTGTAGAAGGAAAGCTTTCTACTTACCCCCATTTAATATGAATTTCATCATTGGGTTGTCATAGGTGGCTTTTATGATATTGGGATGAGGTTCTTCTATACCTGTTTTATTCAGAATTCTCATCATGGATGGTTATTGGTTTTTGTCAAATATATGTTTTGTGTCTATTGGGATGATCATGTATTTTTTGTCTTGGATCCTCATTATGGTGTGCATTAAATTTTTGATTTGTGTATATTGAACCATCCTTGATTTGTGGAATGAATCTCACTTTATCATGATGTATGATCTTTTTGATGATTTGTTGCATTCTGTTTTCTAGTATCTTTTTGTTGTTGTTGTTTTTTTGGTACTGGGGATCAAACTCAGGATCTTGCGCTTTGTTTTCTAGTATCTTATGAAAGATTGTGCATCTATGTTCATGAAAGTTATTGAGGTTTAGTTCCCTTATTTGATTGGATTCATTACTGATTTTGGTATTTGTTTGTTTGTTTTTTGGTACCGGGGATCAAACTCGGGTCCTTGTGCTTATGCAGCAGGCGGTGAAACCACTGAGCTAGAATCCCTGGCCCTCATTACTGGTTTTGGGATCAGGCTAATGCTTGCTTCCAGGAATAACTTTGAGATTCCTATTTCCCATTCAATTTTGTTAAGGAGTTTGAGGAGAATTGTCATTAGATCTCTAAAGTTCTTGTGGAATTCAACTGTGAATCCATCAGAACATGGGATTTCCTTAATTTGTAGATTTTTAATTCATAACTTCTTCAATTTAATTGATTGATATAGAATTATTTGGAGTTGTGACATCATTTTGTTTCAGCTTTGGGAGTTCATATAGTATTTCACTCAAGGTTATGGTCTCAAGGTTTATCCACTTACCCAAAAATGTCTCAGATTTATCCTTCTTTATGTCAGAGAAATACTTCATTGTATAAAAACACCACATTTTCTTTATCCATTCATTTGTTGATGGGAATATGGCCTATAGCAGCACAGTTTATAGTAGGTAAATCTTAGAAACACTCTGTAGTTTTCAACTTTTGTGTCAGTATTTTCCGGATTCCTGAGGATCTACTTTTTTCATCTGCTTTTTCCTCTCCCTCAGTTAGGATTTTCCATAGTGTGGATTTTGAAACTTGGAATTACACTTGCTCATCACTCTATTTCCTAGCCCTGAAAGATTGAAGGTAACCTACATCCATAAACAAAGGAACCTTACTGAGCCTGGCTACTCTATTATCAGCCTGGATTTCACAGTGTAGGTAGCTTTATATAAACTGCCCATAAACGTACTGTTTGGAGGTGGGAGAATTCAGGGAGGTCAGGGCCTTTGTCTAAGAGGAGAACACAAATCAGTAAAAGGAGCTACATATGGTTAGTAAATGGCGGACCCCAGGAGCTGAGAGACCCAAATGGACCCTTCCTGAGGACTGAGGTGCATGCAGCACAGAAGTGACAGACTTACAGAATCTTCCTGTTCCCCAAGTTAGCCCTGGGAAGCTCTAATTGGCATGCTTACTTCTACCATGGCTCGGAAGTGAGTCTTTAGGGGATTAGGTCTTGGTGTCAAAGGGAGAGATCAGCTCATCTCTGGTGGCATAGGGTCGAAGGAGGGCAGGCACCAACAGGAGGAAAATGGAGAAAGTGCAAAAGCACATAGGAGATACCTTGCTTATGTTCTCATTGCTGAGACACAATACCTGATATCTACAGTTTAGTGGAAGAAAGTTGATTTAAGCTTACAATTTATGGAGATTTTAGTCCATAGTCAATCAGATCCATGCAGCACATCAGAGAGGAAGGGCCTGGTGGGAGGAAAGCTGCTCAAGTTCTCCAGGAGGCTGACAGTGAAGGGAGGGGCCAGGAAGGAAGAAATATCCTGCCCTGTCACAGCCAGAGGGACCTTCTTCTCCCTAAAAGGCCCCACCTCTTAACCGCATGTCAACTGTAAGCCCCCATTATACAATGACTTTCCAAAGGTCCTGCCTATGATCTCATGGGACATTTGGGGGAATCTAGACTTAAACCATAACAGGAATCTTGAATCACAGGAAAAATTGGCACAGATCTTACTGTCAGCACTGAGGTACCTATGCAGTGACATGACGGGTGCCTGCTCACTTCTTTTGAGAATCCTGAAGAGCTCAGCGAGGTAAGGGACTTGATCTAAGTTTGTGTCTTCAGGTAGGCACAGGGAACACCATCTGGTCAGGAGACACACAGATGCCCCAGGATCTGCCAAGAGTCAAGATGATGATCTTAAAGGGTGATTTAGGATATTCCCAACCTGAACCCAGAGAGGTGGGTGGTCCTCTGATATCGGACTTGTGCTTGTTGTTATTCAAGGAAGCCTTGGCAGAGCTGCCAGGGTGAGGCTGCTCTCTTAGTTCTGGGTCATTGGTCTCAGTGAGGTGAAGGCCTTGGTACAAGGAGGGCAGGAACTGAGTCAGCAGAACTAAGATCCTAGGGTCTATCAAGGGTCTTGGTGAGGCAGAGAGAACCCACTCACTTCAACACACAGTATTCTAGCCTCAACTTGTCCCATTTGTCACCCGTAGTCAGACACAGGGAACATAGGTGGACTCAGGTTCCTGCACTTCTTCTTTGGAATTTCATAGCAATATTGCCATGTTTTAAAGAAGGCGGCTTACAGTCATTGCAGAGAGGGTCCTGTGCCTAAACACTTACCAACATAAAGGTGGAACAGATTCATTTTCCTTAGGCACACAGACACAACTGGCATTTCCACCTCTAGCTGTTGCCTGCAGAATGACGTGATCAAATGTATGTCCTCTGGGTGCCCCCCCCCCCATCAAGGAGGGAGACACTTTTTCTGAGTTTGCCTCAGCCAAGCAGAGGACTGGGGTCTGGGCCCTGCTGAAGGACAGTTGAGGGCCCCAAATGAGCAGAGAGGAACTATCCACACATAACACTGGGGCACTGAAAAATCCAGCACAGCTCTACTATGAGGGCTGGAGGAGCAGGACTGTGCTTTCAGCCTGCAGCTAGAGGTTTTTACATTATGCTTCTTATAGGTTCTCCAGGAACAAGTTGGTGAAGGTCTTGTTGTGGAGCAGTGTCCTCAGGTCACGCAGCAGAGTAGTCCCAGTGTCAGGAGTGAAGGTGAAGTGCAGTCCATGATGTGTACCTAGGGGTTCCCCCTGCCCCAGAACACGACACGTCACAGTACCCAGGTTGCATATGTCATACCGTCTTCCCTAGAGCCTGTCCTCTGCAGTTTAACTGCACACTGAGGAGCACCCTCATTTCATTTCCCAGGGTCATGGGGCCAGTGCTTGCAGGATGATAGGAACCTGTGAAGACCTAGGGTACCCCCAAAGAGAAGACCTATAATGGGCCTCTGTGGGAGGCATCAAGAGTGTTGTTCTTAGCTGAAAACACTAATAGTCTTGCTCTCTCTTCCAGGCATCTGAGTCTTGAACAACAAGCTCTTGATGTTCCTATGGAACATCATATTGCCTCATGGTCAGGGGAGCCAAGACAGCAAGTTAGGGGGAGGCCATCCTGGCCAGAGTAGTACACAGATCCTCATGAGTGTGCAGTTTCTTAAGGAGGAGGAGGAGGAAGCAGAAGCCACTGCTTCCTCTGCAGCATTCTCTAATCACGTCCACACCAATAGAAAAGCCTGGGCTTGGGACACCAAGTTGTCCTCAGAATCCTCAGGGCATCTCCTCTCCCCTCAGTGCCATGGCTGCCACTCAAAGGAGCCAGTGCAGTGAGGGCTCGGGCCGGCAAGAGGAGGAGGGTCCAAGTCCCTCGCAGGATGAGAATGTTCCTCAGATCTTGCGCAGTGTGCTCCTAAATGACAAGTTACATGATCTGGTGCCCTTACTGTTCCGCAAGTATCAACAGAAGGAGCAGATCACCATGGAGGAAATGCTGCACGTTGTGGATGATGATTACCATGAGCACTTCCCTCTGATCTTTAGGGAACTCTGTCAGTGCATGTGTCTGGGCTTTGGCATTGAGCTGAGGGAAGTGGATCCCCCTGGCCAGACATACGAGCTTCTCCCTGTCCTGGGCCTCACTTACAAGGGGATCCTGGATGACGATGTCCAGGTCATTCCCAAAGGGAACCTCCTGATAGTCATCCTGAGTGTAATCGTCATAAAGGGCGACCGTGTCAGTGAGGAGGACCTAAGGGAACTGCTGAGAGA